CCATGCATTATTAGCAATCTAATGTGAACGCATCTTTCACGGGGAAAATAATAATACGTCGTGATCATGTTGGCGTCTTTATTTACACTCAAATCTAAACCCACTCTAAAGGGGCTTCAAAGCATTAAAACGGGAAGGGGGAAGATGAACCGTGCATTATGGTCTGGGTAGTCTCATCGGCATTTCTACCTTTTACCCACAGACGCAAAGTGCAGGAGATCAATTGGCAGCGCAAACAAGAGCAGATGGTGGCGGGCGAGACACTGACCCAACTGGAGGAAGAGTGGGTCTCCCTTGTGGGCAAGAACTATGAAATAGAGCAGGCCATCTTGGAATTGGAGCAGGAGCTGCAGGTCTCTGCGCATCCATCACTGAACGAGGATGCCAAGGAACCCTAGACAATATCCAGCTTTCTCTCCCCCCTCCTGTATAGTCTGTAAATTAATTTTTAAGTGAATATTTCCTGCTCGTAATGCTAATGCTCATTTGCGTTGAAAAGGGAACTTTCAATTGAAAAGCAAAGAAAAGTCAACGGTTTAACTGTTGCTCTTATACTGAATCTGTGATTTGACAGTTCAGTTGCGACAGTACTTGCTGGTTTCCTCAAATAATTGCCATGAATTTTTGAAGGGCTTTGGATGCCTTGTCCTTTTGTGTTAATCTTGAAGTCAGACCGCGTTCCGAACCCCGCTGACTCATATTTGAGGTACAAGTAGTTTACTAGAACGAACTCTTCAATTTTACTATTACCACCGCGTTCAGTAACTGCCATGAACGTGAATAGTAGGAAGACGGCGTTTCACCTTGGTGTGTGAGTCTTACCTTCCTAAAATGCTTTGTTGTTAAAAGAGAACAACCTTTTTCAAGGTGAATCTGGTTCTCTCTACTCTACTTTGACATTTCAACTCCCCAATTTATTTTGGATGAAATTTTATGACTGTCCAACAACCCCAAAGGTAGGTGATAGTCGCCACGTCGAAAAGTATCATGGCAAGAGCAAAGAGAATGTCCAAAGCATGTTCGAGCTAACATGTGCCACTTTGATGGGCTCTAAAAATTGCACAGATTTATGTGACCTCAATAACTTTTCGAAGCATCGTTTAAGTTTACTGCCTTCATTGCCTTTTGGTGCTGCTACTTAGTTTACATACGATGAGGCTTGTGTTCTACAATACTACTTCATCCTTAGTGCCACTCAATTTGGTTGACAAAATGGGCAATTGGAACATATAGACAAAGTCACTGCATAAATTCATTCAAAGGTCTTCTGATCAACGAATTCCCGGACAGAATTTGTTGGCTTTAAGTGTATTCAGAAAAAACCTCATCAAGGAGTTTTGGGGGTATCTTATTTTTCACTTTTAATGCTATTCTTATGTCG